GCTCAGCGTCACATGGGGGGGGGGTCTGCATGCAAATGTATCCTGCCCAGTAGTGTCTACTCCTCCAGACATGTATCCATCAAGGCCTTTTCATATTTGCTTAACTCCTCCCACTGCTTGCATCAGGGCTGAGGGCTCTGGAGAGGAGTACTGAGGCCGGCCCCTCCCACTAGCCATGAATTGTCTGCATTAGAGAAGAACAGAGACCCAGTGATGATGCAAGTCAGTCTAAAATAGGTTATGTAATGAAAACAGTTTATTTTTTGGATGAGGAGGAGGGGAGGAGCCAAGGAAGGCAAACTAGAAGCAGATCAAACTTCAGCTTTAAGCCCTCGTTCACATAAATCCCATTGTATTCAATGTTCTCCTTCCCACCTTGGCGTATTTCCGCCCGTCACTAACGCGCTACAAAACGGCCCACGCCTGAAAAGGAACAGGTACTACTTTGGGCCGTTTTGTTGCGCGTTTCCATTGGGATACAGCCAAGTAGCCTTCGGAAACGCGCAACTTTTTTACCACGAATCAAGCGCATATGCAATACGCTAAACATTTTCAACTACCACCATTTTATTCTATAGGGTCTTGGCATTCAGAAAATATATAATGTTGGGGGGTTTTACATCATTTTCAGGCCTAAAATGTGGAATATAACATGGGTGCAAAAATGGAAAAAAGGGCCGTAGTCATGAAGGGGTTAAACAATGCCTGTGATGCCGCTGTCCTCTCAGACAGGAATATGACGGGTCTCACTATACAGTAGCGTTCTTCACAGAGGCAAGGAGACTTTCAGTTCGTATTTAGAGCGTAGAGATAAGCTTAACCGCTTGCTGACCGCTGTGTTTACAACCCCTTCCTGGCCAGGCCATTTTTCAGTATTCAGCGCTGCGGTATTTTGACTGGCGTTTATTCCATCATGCAGCGCTGTACTGAAATGAATTTTATACCATTTTTTGGGGACAGATAGAGCTTTCTTTTGGTGGTATTTAATCACCACTTCGGGTTTTTATTTTTTACTATAGTTAGGAGAAATTACTGAAAATTTTGAAAAAAAAGTTTTTTTGTTTTTTTTTTACATTATGTTAGGAAACATTTATTATTACCCAGTTTTTTGGTAAAATATAAAAGTCGGGGTCACGTCGGGTAAATAGACACCAAACATGTCAAGCTTTAAAATTGTGCACACCCGCGAAATCGCAGAAAACTACCATACCCAAAATTGGCCATAGGCGACTCTTTAAAAGCTTTTACCGCTCATCAGTTTAGTGTTATCAGTGATTGATGGCCCTAGAATTATTGCTCTCACTGCGACGTTCGCGGCGATATGTAACATGTGCAGCGTAATGGGCGCAATCGTCTTTTTTGCACGTATGCGCCCCCATCATATATACTTTTTTATGTGTAACTTTAAAAAAAAGTTTGGGAAGGACTTTCATTTTTTTTTCCCCACTAAGCTTTATTGCTATAACATAGGGGGCTAATAAAAACCCCCTATGTGACAGGTCCTCTTTATGGAGACATCAGGGGTCTCCAAGACCCCTAATGTCACCTAGGACCCCCCTGAAGAAGCTGATGAAGCACAGATCTGCTTCATCAGCTTCTCTCCAGCGTCTTAAGCTGCAGAGTGACACGAGAATGGGGAAGTGATGTCATATACACCACTTCCGCATTCTGGGTTTCATGGCAGCAGAAACCCAGATACATGATGTCAGGCAGACAGGGGCAACCAAAATTGAGATAGGGGCTACTGGCCCCCCCACTGGAAAATAGTCTCAACTGTGATATTTACATATGATAAGCAGCAACTCATTCTCCAAAAAAAAATGTCCGCCCGTCGCTAGTGATTGGGTTTCACTTGAAGAAAAGGGGGCAACCCCCAATCTAGACCCCAGCGGTCCCCAAGGTCATGTCGCTGTATTCCAGACGGCCGTGCCTTTTACTTTTGGCTACTATGACAGAGGAGACTTATTTACTGTATTGAGGGCGCGGTGTCAGGCGCTGGGCAGCGGTCATGAAATCCGTTGTGTGGTAAGCTGCACTAGACAAAATTCAAGTCATAATCTGCAGTGATTACAGCGACCGGCAGAGAACTCTGATTGGGGAGACAGCACATTGTGGCCGCTGACTAATCTTCACTTAACTCTTTCCAAGCCAGGACATGAACCGCAGTGTTCATTGTATGGTTACTTGTTGCCGAGGTGATGTCAGAGTTCACGAGCCAGTCAGTCCGCTCTAGGGGCCCTTCAATTCCCTTCAACCAACTATCTTGTGCAACCCCCAAAAATATTAGTAACTGCACCCCCCACCACCACCACCCACCCTACCCGTCAACTTGGGCTCACACAGGACATCTTCACTGTTCCTCATAAACTTGAACAAATCCTACACAGAGGGCCAGAGGAAGCAAGATTGGAGGTTCTAGAGCAGTGGCTTTCAACCTGTGTTACCTCAGGACCCACATTTGTCCTCGGTCATTAAGTTGTGACCCAAGTCACACGGCAATGAACGCATGGCATTGCAGTACCGAACGTTCTGATGTTGGCAATAGAACTGTGAGTGTGAGATGCGTTTGGGGTGCTATTCAAATGAATGGCAATGCAATGTTCTTCACACACCAGAGCACGTTGTAGGTGCAATTGCGCGGTACAGTGCATTAATCGCACGGGACTCTGAGATAATTGCATTGTGGGATGCTGTGCTGGAGCTCCATCCATACATGCATTGCTTGTACAGCTCCCTTGCACACCCTTCTCCGCCTTTTGGCTAAGATCAAGTGTAGTATCTGTTCTTATCAGTTGTTGAAGGGTGCTGCCGATCCCAGAACGGGGGAGCATCCTAGTACCCTCTGACGTAATGGTGGGTGTCGGAGGACGGTTCGGTCCACTGCTGGTTGCGTCAGGCTCTGAGGTTACGGGTAGACCCCAGACAGTGGGAGGACCCCCGACGGCACTACCTTCTGATGTGAGTGGAGAAACACTTGGTCAGGTCGGAGGGTAGGGAGGCGGCAGAGCCCATGGTGTTGTGCCCCCTGGGGGTGGCGTCCCAGGTGTGCTCAGAAAGTCACTAGGGTGTGGGACCCCACATGACTCTCTGTGCACATGGACACACACCACATTGCATTTTCTGCACTTCGCCTCCAAGACAGGCCTTATGGCTAGTCCGGGGCAATATTTTTGCACTCCGGCCCAGCGTGGTGCACTGGCACTTTATTGCACCTCATGCATGATTTGGCACTTTTTTGTTTTTCAACCTTTGATCCACAGATTGCTTAGGGTGCAGGTTCCTTCGGGGCCTTTTCCCGATGCGAGGGAGGAGATTCTGTGCCCTTACATAGGGTTCTCTGTCTCCTCCCACCCAGGGGGTTTCTCTTCGGGAGATCCCACTACCCAGTACTGTGAGGGACCTGTTCCGGCAGGTCCCCGAAGGATCGGGGTCCGCCTGCCTCCGGGTAGGTGGACCAACAGTCTCAACCCATGTCAGGAGCCTTGCGCCCCGGGGGGTCGGGAATCGAGGTCCCTTCTTTAAAGGAAGGACCAAGCACCCTTGTGCACGTTTTTTGTGTGCTGTGATTTCACGGTTCACTTTTTTTGTTCACAGGGGAGTTTGTTTTAGACGCACGTTCCACAGGCTCTTAAAAAAAAAAAACAGCTCCCTTGCACACCCTGTAGAGGTGTCAGGAGCTAGAATGCGATGTCACTCTGCTCCAGGCACCTCTCTCTACAGGGTATACAAGGGAGCTGTAAGCAATGCATGTATGGATGGAGCTCCCTCATGGGCATACCCCCAGCCTACCCCACCTCAAGCTGACACTCAGTGCTGGGCAGCATATATTGAATGGCTGCTTGGTGCAAGAACTGACAGTGCTGCGCTAGGGGGAGGCTGTGGAAGGCACGCGGGGACCCACTGAACACGAGGTTGTGACCCATTTTTGGGTCATGACCCACCAGTTGAGAGCCAAGGTTCTAGAAGAATGCATATTGCCGCATGCGATATCTTATTTTGCCGCATATAATTTATTTGGTGCATGGTAGAATGTGTAACCAGCCTGCGGCATCATCCTTATGGCGCGCTATAGCACACCAATGTTGTGTCAGATACTGAGAGTCGCGTCCTAATCTATTATGGAGCGCGCACGTTCACACCTTCGCTTTGCATTAATGCGCAGCACACTGAGCGCACCTTCACGCAACACGCTCAAAGTGTGTGTGTGGTGCTTGCGGTGCTGTCTCTTGTTAATGGCTCACCAAACGCAGCTGGTAAAATGCGCAGTTTTGCATGCGCATCACTCGAAAGTGCACGGAAAAAACATTGGACACTCTCAGCTGAAAATGCTGCATGAACTACTTTGCTCACGACAAACCATTCTCATTATCGATTATAATTGATTAGTTGTTGCAGCAGCTGTACTTCTATGGGGGTGGGTTTGGGACCCAATGAGACAATATAACCAGTGGTGTCACGCAGGGGGTGTGGCCCGCACCCGGGTGACACCAAAAGGAACGACAGTCATTTTGGTGTCACTCCCTATGAAAAGTCGGTCATTGATGAGAGCCCAACAGTGTCAGGAGAGAGGAGGGGACTCGGCAGCATACCTCATCCCGCCGGGTGAACGTCCCCTCCTCTCTCTGCTGGCGTCCATCAGCAAGGGGGCAGCCGGCAGGTGACAATAAGATGGCCGCACATCCGCAATGACGTTATGGCGGGGTGCCACCTTGCCTTGGGACGCCCCTGAATATAACCATGCTGCATGGATTATGGTGAATATCTTCTAATCTAAGATGGCTTTACTGTGCTACGCACTGATTTGGTTTTGAATCCTGTAGTCTCTTCTCGCCATGGGTATAGTGCCTTGTTGGGTCCCAAGCCCACCCCCATAGAAGCCATGGCTTCCATACACTGCAATGGTAATGGGCCAAAAAGCCTGAAATTACTGAATGCAGTTTGGAATAAATAGCTCTAGAATATTAGGCAATATTTGCTCTATACACCTGAGGTTCTGGATGTCCATCTGGCTGATGGGGGTATAAAGGAATCATTTGCATAGCTCCGCCCATTGTCCTGAAATAAGGAATAATGGGACATGTGATGGAATAAGACATGTTTATACCTTGTGTTGTAAGAAGGCTTTTCTGTGCTACGCACTGATTTAGTTGGAGGACTTTTTGATTTCTTTAGTCCCTTCTCACCATGACCTGTAGGGTTATACTGTCTTGGTGGAAATTTGAACTGGTAACTATTCTCCTTGCAGTGTGAATTTTAGGGGCAGAATTTTGTATACATGACCCCCTAGGTCAGTGATGGCGAACCTTGGCACTCCAGCTGTGCCAAAACTACAAATCCCAACATGCATCTGCCTCTGGGAGTCATGTCTCTGGCTGTCAGAGCCTTGCAATGCCTCATGAGACTTATAGTTCCAAAGCAGCTGGAGTGCCAAGGTTCGCCATCACTGACCTAGGTGAATAACGGTGCATGAGTTTATTGCTGGTGATGTCTATTCCTATAGTTTTTAAAGGAGAACTATGAGGGGGGTGCTTTTCACTCATCCTCATAGTTCTAGCCGCCCTGTGACAATGAGACTGTCACAGGTCGGCTCAGTAGATCTGGAGGTGAGCGAACACATACCGGCGTTCGCTCACCTCTCGATCCTGTCAAGGCTCTCTGCCGTGACAGGGGAGGGGCTGGATTCCCTGCTCCGATCCTCCAGCGCTGACTGGTGGAACGGAGGGGGCGGGTACAGCTGGCTCTGCCTCTAGATAGGCAGAGCCAGCTGTCAGTCGCGCAGCTGTGCGGATCCAGACATAATTGTCGGGATCCGCTTCAGCCGCGGCGTCTCAGTATACTCGCGGTATACTGAGCTTAGTGTGACGGGAGGACGCTAGTTTGTGTCCTCCCGTTACCCTAAGGCTGGGTTCACACCTAGGCGGATTGAATACTTGGAGGGATACTTGGCTGTATCCGAATGGAACCGCCCGACCAAAACGCCCCAAAGAAGTACATGTACTTCTTTGGGCGTAGGGCGGTTTCCCGCGCGTTCGTACTCGCGGAAAACCGCACAGATGGGAACCATGCACACTGAAAATAATGGCATTTCCCTGTTTTGAGCGTTTTTCCGCGAGTACGAAAGCGTGGAAAAACGCCCAGGTGTGAACCCAGCCTTAGGAGAACTATGGGGAAAAGCCCTGACCCCATAGTTCTCCTCTTTTTTAATTAGCCTTTTGCAGCAATGTTTAGGGTACGGCTTAAATCCTTACCATTTGGAATCTCTGCAAGATTTGGGGGTGGGTTGGAATTACTGCATATACGCTATGATTGACTTGGATCACTAACCACCTAGTCACTGTGCTGCCTCCAAAGTTCGGTTTCAAAAGCAACCGCTGTATGATTGACATTGCCCACCAGTAATTGAGGAAAATGCTTGTTACGTTTTTGTTTTTTTACATGACTGATGACTTCTATTTTTCTCATTTGCTCCAACAGGCAACGTTCAAGATGCCGCACGGCTGCTGGGCAGTAAAGAAGTTCGGGTGAACTGCTTGGATGAGGTAGGATGATTTTCTGCTCGGGGTATACGGAGAATGCACTGTGAACACCACATAAAACACATCTCTGGGTAAAAATGTTATTAACTAGGGATGCACCAATACCAAGACTAGACTAGAGAAAAATGCAAAAGTTAGGAGGCCGCTGTCATTTGTAAGGAGCACACGGAGCTCCCGGGATTTGTACATCTCTGTTTTAATGTATGATTTTGTTTTTATAAATATATATAAGGGATGCACCAATACCAGTTTTGCAAATACAAGTACTGATTAGGCTGGGTTCACACCTTTTGCGTTTTTCAGCGCTGAAAAGCGCTCAGCAAGTGAAATCCTATTGAGTGCTATGGGCATGGTTCTCACCTGGGCGTATATTTCAGCGCGAGTTGTCGCGTTGAAAAACGCCCTACGTCCCAAATAGTATAGGAGCTTCTTTGGGGCGTATTTCAGCGCGTATCCATTGGTATTCCCGAGTGTGGCTCGGGGTTAACAAAGCGGTAACCCCTGAGCCACACCTTGTCCGCGATCCCCGCTGTGTCCTCCGGCCGCTGCTGTCTTCCGGGTTCCGTCACTTGCGAGCGTCCGCGTCGAAGGGGGGTGGAACCGGCGGGAAGTTTGAAAAAAAAAAAAAAGGAAAACCATTTTTTGTAAAAATCATACCGCAAGGGAGGTTAAAAAACGAGCGTCGAACGCGCGTTTCAGTGAACAAAAAAAATGTGCTTAAAACGGGCTTAACCCCTGCATGACTGAGGCCCTTTTTTCATTTTTTGCACCCATGTTATATTCCACATTTTAGGCCTGAAAATGACGTAAAACCCCCCAACATTATATATTTTCTGAATGCCAAGACCCTATAGAATAAAATGGTGGTAGTTGAAAATTTTTATGTTGCGCAATATTAGCGCAACTCCTTATTAAACCCCAAAATTTAGTGACAAATTTAATTAAATGCCCCAAAACAAAACAAATTTCACATTTTTTTAATGAAATATAAAAGATGAGGTTACAACGAGTAAAACGATACCCAACATGCCCAGTTTACAAATTGCGTGCGACCGTGAAACGGCGAAAAACTGCAGTACCCCAAAAAGTCAATAAAAGACGCTTTAAAAGCCCCCACAGGTCATCAATTTAGAGATACCCCAAAATACTGGCCCTAGAATTATTGCTCTCACTCCGGCGTGCGCGGCGATACCCAACATGTGTAGCGAGTTCGTCGTTTTCATGCGTAGGCGCACCCGACGCGTGTTTACGTGGCGACGCACATGCTCACGAGGGCGGGGGACTTTTAAATTTTTTTTAAATTGCTCCCCGCGGACACCAAGGACGCCGGTCCCGGGCCCGTAGGAGGGGCAACGGAGCCCGGGAAGCACTGCGGGGGTGTCCGGTGGGGGGGCCCTTCTTCGGGACACAGAAGCGATCTGGTGACAAGTAAGTCGCCAGGATCGCTTCTGTTGTAAAGCCGACAGTCGGCTCTACAAGTTTAAACAGACTCCCGGTGGCAAAAGTCGCCGGGAGTCTGTTTAAACAGCCCCGATGCTGGCGACGTACACTGTACGTCGTCAGTCACGAAGGGGTTAAAAAAACTAGCCTATTTAGAACGCCCGGGTGTGAACCCAGCCTCAAGTATCTGAACTAATAACAATGTATCATATTTGTGTATAACTCGGCTGCAGATCCTCCAATCATCTCTGAATTGGTGCTGACACTGTCCTTCCTTCTGGAGGGGGGCTACTTTTTGTTCCCCATGGTCCCTGTGTGTGTTGTAAAGTAGTCACCGCTCCAAGCCCGCTCCAGGGATGGACTACAATCTCATTACCAATTGGTAAACTAAATGTGAGATTGTAGTCCATCACAGGAGCGATCTTGGGGCGTTGGCTACTTTGCTGTCCCTTTTTTAAGAGCTGGGTTTAAGGATTTGGGAAAGAGTAGGTTTAAAGGAGAACTATGGGGTCAGGGCTTTTCCCCATAGTTCTCCTTAGGGAGGACACAAACTAGCGTCCTCCCATCACCCTAAGCTCAGTATACCGCGAGCTACAGCTTCCTGTATACTGAGACGCCGCAGCTGAAGCAGATCCCAACAATTATGTCTGGATCCGCCCAGCTGAGTGACTGACAGCTGGCTCTGCCTATCTAGAGGCAGAGCCAGCTGTACCCGCCCCCTCCCGCGTCCGATCCGCCAGTCAGCGCTGGCAGATGGGAGGGGGGAATCCAGCCCCTCCCCTGTCACGGCAGAGAGCCGTGACAGGATCGAGAGGTGAGCGAACGGCGGTATGTGTTCGCTCACCTCCCGATCTACTGAGCCGACCTGTGACAGTCTCATTGTCACAGGTCGGCTAGAACTATGAGGTGAGTGAAAAGCACTCACCTCATAGTTCTCCTTTTAAGAATGTGGAATAAGACGTTAGAATTTGAAGAATCTAAATCTCCACACTTAAGTTGTTTATAATAGTGTAACTTGACCTCTTGGGGATTGATGTGCATGCTGCTACTTTGTTGCATTCTCTCCCTGTCAGTGCGGAAGTGTCGGCTCATTGTCAGAATAGCTGCCATTGCTGAGCTCAGTGGTGGTACAGGACACTCTCTCTGGTCTGCTATAGGAGGGTTAAACTGCCAATGAACAAAGCCATTTGGAATCCTTAAAATCTTTGACTTTTTTTGGTGTATCTTTCATCAGCACTCGGCTCATGTAGCAGACGCTCAGTCTGATACTTCTGCTCTAACTGGCAGAGAATACAAGTAAATAATAAAATATCCTGAGAGATAAGACCTGTGCTATGAAGATTCAGATTATTATAAGGCCCATTGGTGACTAGTTCTCTTTAAATGTTGTGGCTAGATGGCTAGGTATGCATTTTACCACAGGCTTAAAAGCAGCAAAGGTACCAAATTCTCTCCAACAGACACCCAGGTAGCAATAATATCACTGGATTAAAAAAAAAACAAAAAAACATTTCCTGGCGGGAACATTAAGTTGAGGCTAAAATGCACCATGCAAGTGCCATTATCTGTTTGGCTATCGCTTTTGGAGCTCCAAAATGTATCCGTTTTTAGTGCCTGTTCACACGGCGTCCGGATTCTGTCCTGACCAGTTCCGTGCGCTCCTGCACTAAAAATGCATCCCTGAAAATTAATAAAGACACGTTTAAAAAAAAAAAAATGCATCCCAATGTATCCCTATGTGTTTTATGGGCTACAGTTCTCGCGTGCGCAGTCTGTTCAGGTCACGGGAGAGAAAATACTGCATGTCACATTTTGTCCGGTCAGGAAATGCAAAACGCGTCAAACGCACTGCAGCTAATCTACTCCAGCAAGTGGAACGCATCAAAAACGCGTCAAAAACGCATAGCACTGCGTCTGCAGATCTGGTCCAGACATCGTGTGAACAAGCCCTTATAAAGAGAGGTCTAAGGAGCTCTATGATGTAGGCATGACCCAATATCGCAGATGTCCTAAGGCAACAAGGCTCAGCTGTGCATTTTGGGGAATTGGTGAACCCCGATGTCTTCCCAGGTTGATGAAGTCCATATAGAATTTGGAGCATTTCTGGTTACCCCTTTTATCAAAAGCCCAAAAAGATTCTATCTTGCAATTTTTACTACACGCTCCAGTCGTTCCTGTTCCTATGGCAACCCTTAGAGATACTAAGTAACAAGGCGTTTACACCGACTGCCCAGCAATTTTGCAGACAATGAGCCCCTCAATTTCCCCGGCTTCTGCCAGCGTGTCTGGTACCAGAAAGCCCGGAGCACCGAGGAGCTTGCCGTGTTGGCAGGGGAAGGTTCGTTCTCTGTGTTTCCTGCATACAATAGAAGGAGAGCGCTTTAATGCTACAAAAGAGACGCAATTCCTTTTTGTACTTCAGAGAAACGCTACAAAACCGACAATGAAAGAGGCGGCACACCGAAGGCTCTGAACAGCGGAGCTCGAGATGCTGAGTATAAGGTGTGTGCGCAGAACTAAAGGCAAGCGCCGTCTGTAGCGGAGAGTTCAGTTTTGATTGGCTGCTGGCAATCTGAATTGTGGCGGCTCCGGGTCTCCCACAAGTTATGAAAAATAACTATTTTTAGTTCTATGGAAACATAATGGATTGTTTGGAACATGTATACACAGTTGGTGCTTGTAATAAATGTGTCCATATCACGGGGTGTTTGGGATAAAGTGACCCACAACAGGGGGGCTTAGTGAGCACTGAGTTTATAAAAAGATTCTCCGTTTATAAAGTACATTTTTACATAATTTTTTGGGAAAAATTAATAATGTATTGATCAATATATTTAGAAAGTTCCTGAATATTTTAGAGGTTTTTGCCATTTTGTGTGATATACCGTACATTATATTGCCAAAAATATTGGGACACCCCTCCAAATCATTGGATTCAGGTGTTCCAATCACCTCCATGGCCACAGGTGTATAAAATCACGCACCTCGGCATGCAGACGCTTCTACAAACATGGGTCGCTCTCAGGAGCTGAGTGTAAGGAACTTACGCTGCATCGGAGCAGTATACCACGGCGGGGCCGGCCCCGTCACCAGCGTCCCGTTGCCAAGCGACGGGCGGCGTCCACTCAGCGTTCCTCTCCTCCTTCCGTTCGTCAGCTGAGTCGGCGTGATGACGTGGCGGGCCCGGCCCAGCGGCGTCCCGTTACCAGGAGACGCTCAGGTCGGGTCTCGTCTCC